TGGCATCCTGGATTGTGTAAGAAATAGTATCATCAGCTGAACCAGATCGTGCCTCTATACTCTGCTCTGGTGAGGTTGCACCTTTAGTGCTGTGTTCTGTTTTGGGTCAGTCACCACAAGAAAGATGTTGAGGCCCTGGAGCACATCCAGAGAAGAGCAAAGCTGGTGAGCACAAATCTTATGAGGAGCAGCTAAGGGAGCCAGGATTGTCTCGTCTGGAAGAGAGGAGGCTTAGGGGAGACCTAATTGACCACTGCAACTATCTGAAAGGAAGTTGTTGGTGAGGTGGTGGTTGGCCTCTTTTCTCATATAACTAGCGATTGGACCAGAGGAAATGGCTGCAAGTTGAGCCAGGGGAGGTTCAGTTTGGATATCAGGAAAAAATTATTCTTCAGGAGAGTGGTCATGAACTGGAACAGGCTCCCCAGGGAGGTGGTGAAGTCATCGTCCCTGGAGGTGTTCTAGAAACGTATAGATGACATGCCTTAGTAGGGAAATATTAGTGATAGACGGATGGTTGGACTAGTTGATTGTGGAGGTCTTTTCCAGCCTTGGTGATTCTGTGATTCACCTGTAGAGGTCACCTGTAGAGGGGATTTCAAGCTGCAGAATTGAAAGTTTACCACTGTATCAGATCACTGAAACAAAATTGCTGTCTAAGCCAGAATCCGTTGCAACAGTAGAATCTTAACTGTGCCCCTTAACTATCACTAACACTGTCACATTTGCAGTGTAGGCAGAAGCATAGATTTCTTCTGTCAACTTAAGCATGAAAACTGAAATTCTCACTTGAATTTGTCCAAACAAAGGGCTATGGATAGATAGGCCCACTCTTCAGAAGTGCTTGTCTTTGGAGGGATGAGCTACCATCTGGAGATGCCTTTCTCAGTTGGCTACAGAGGGAGTTTAGATCAAGAGCTTGTAAGAGAGGCCAATCTCTTAGGTAACTGATGTAAGAAAAATCTAAGTTTGCAGAAATGTCAGTTCTTTCAATGGCATTAATATTCAGAAAATGCAAGGACTGTGACAGCTATAATGATGCAAATATTTAGGTGATTTTTGTGTTCAGCACCAATAATTCTGTAACTTATAAGAAGGTGGCACTGTGGGCTCTTCATTTACAAGCCTTCCTCCTAGTTTATATATGGAAGGAACATACAGAAATATTTTGGAGAACAGAAATTATAATATTATTTTAATGATCACTTGTGTGGTAAGGAATTGGGAGTCACTTAGCTCAAAAAGACTGGCCCCACTGATGTACCTTTTAGATTATCACAGCTCTGTTTCAGGGTTCTCCAGCAGCAATCATGCACCAAATACATTTGCTATACATTTTCAAGATTTCAAGATGAATGAAACACTTTACATTTCATTTTTTTTAGAAAGAACATTATCATTTAGTATCTTACTGCAATTGCTATTTTTATTATTAATTCAGGTATTTTGTAGACTTCTTAGACATTAATTGAATTTATCATAGCTGATCTCTTAAGATCAGCAGTGGTATTTTACACCATCTATGCTTTACAGTAGTCCAGTATTCAACATAGGATGCTATGTGACAGATTTTGAAGCCTTTCCTTTTTTTTCTACAGATATTTCTAATGGGATGTTGTTGATGTCCTGCTTCTTAGCGCTACAGTTTTGAAGATCTGCACTAAATTTTCATGTAGATGGAACTAACAGATTAAAAGACTGAAAGCATATTTAAATCAATACTTTGGAATCAGACTGAAACAGGCTTTCAAAGACTTAATTGGTCAGATCTATCTATGACTCCAACAGGGATTTAATTAGTGTCTGTATCAAGTAGATGTTACAGGAACCAGGGCATCCTCAATCTTATGATCCTGAAGACTTTTCCAGAGTGTGTCCTTGCTATTGGAGAAGGACAACATGAAGATTATTTATGAGGAGGACAGCAGTAGAAATTGAAATGTCAAGCATTTTCTAAACAGAGACGAAGATAAAGTCTCTCTCCCAAGGAATATAAACAGAGAGAAGAAGCCAAAGAATAAGGAAAAAAATGTGTAACATACAAACAAGGTAGCAGGAGATCACACTATAAATACTGCATTTTTTTTCTTTTATCCTCTTTCTTCTCGTTGGCATTCTTGTCATCACATTCTGATTTCATTTCAGTGGCCCAACACTAGACCTTGTGTATGTCTGTGGTTCAGCCAGATAGGGATAAATTCTAAGATAAATGGATGTACTTTTCATAAGCCTCAAGAAGTTTTATTTCTGTGAGAAAATGAACTAAAAAGATGCTTCTTGGATTTGCCTAGTAGTAGATCTTCTGTGGGGAATGCTGTAAGAGAAAAATTCCTCTGTGGGAGATCACACAAACAAGGTAAAGAAGTGGATATAACTGGAGAGAGGATAATCTGGCAAAATAACAAGTCAGCACAAGTGAAAAGAGTTTACAGGACGATGGTGTTGATCACAACCTGTGACTCATGAGAAAATATGAAGTCTGGAAGTGGAAGATGTTGAAAGGAGTTATCTTAAAGAGGCTGTGATAAGGAGTGGCATGATTAAAATAACTGTTGAGGAATATAAGTAGGTACTCAGGCTGCACTTTGAATGGCCTGAAGGCAGTATTAGAGAGGCTTTCTAATGAGGATGAGTGGTGAGGTGTGCAAGTAAAGCTGTGTAGGAAGAAGCAGCACATTTGGAGGAGTGGGATGAAGATGGTGAAAATGAATGTTAGCCTTCAGGTGCAGCGTCAAGATTCTATTCTGCAATGACATAACATTTGGATTACTACACTTAAAATTAAAATGTGATTTTGGAAAATTAAGATTTTAATTGCACTGTTTTTTCAATATTTTGAAACACTTCAAATGTTGGACTTAATTTTTTCTACTTTCTCAATGAACTTTCATGACAGCAATGTGAGATCTTTTTTTTTTTTCTCTTTTCCTAATGAAAGGAGATGTTATGAGAACATAACTGCAAAACAATAAACAAAATGAAACATAGTGAATGATTTCAAGGATAGTAATAGCACACCAAGGTATTTTTTAAACTTGTTTCTTTGTCTCATGTTGACTGATTGTCAGTTGGTAGTCTCCATTTTATGAAAATATTGAGATGGTGTTTGACAGAACAGCTCCTTCCCTAAGCTTATTCATCAAGTGATTTTAATAACTTTAATTCCAAGCTATAATAATCCCTGAATGCATGTAACAATTATTATCCTCATTATTATCACAATTTTTGATATTATACATATCTATATTGAAGATATCAATTCTAAAATTTCAGTGATCATTCCCACAGTGAGTTCAGAGATTTTTTTTCCATTTATAAGCTTAGTTGTAATTTTTTTTTTTTTTTAAATTAGAAACTCCAGCTGACACAGGAGGTATCACTGTGGAGTGAATGAGTAATATAGCAGCACAAATGGGAGCTGCTGAATTCTTCTGTGAAAAGAAAAAAAGCTGAGGACTGGGAGGCAGTGCCTCATAAGCCTTAAAATTCATAAGTTATTATCCTATTCTGTTTTCCCTTTCTATTAGTCCTTTGCTGTCACTATTGTGGTGGAGTAGAGCCTAAGTGTTTTGTCATCCCCTATGAGAAGTATTACTGAGGTCATCACATGTGATCTTAAAGAGATACAGTCTTTGCATGTTATACTGAAGGACACTGAACATGAACAAAATCATAGGACCACAAAGCATCTTCAAAGCTATATGAGGAATTGCCCAGAGATGTGGTGGATGCCCCGTTCCTGAGACATTCAAGGTCAGGTTTGAGAGGCTCTGTGCAATCTGATCTAGCTATAGATTATTGAATTAAATAATTGTTAAGGTTGAAAAAGACCTCTAAGATTATCTAGTCCAACCATCGAATGCCATCAATATTGCCCACTAACAATATCCCTAAGTACTACATCCATATGTTTCTTGAACACCTTTAGGGATGGTGACTCCATGGCCACCCTGGGCAGCCTGTGCTAGCACCTGATCACTCCTTTGGAGTAGAAATTTTTCCAGCTACCCAATCTGAACCTCCCACAGTGCAGCTTGAGGCCATTCCCTCTGATCTTATCTCTGTTACTTGGGAGAAGAGGCCAACTCCCTCGACACTACAACCTCCTATTGGGTCACTGTAGAGAGTGATGAGTCTCCCCTGAGCCTCCTCTTCTCCAGACTGGTCAGTGCCTGTTCCCTCAGCTGCCCCTTATAAGTTTTGTGCTCTAAATGTCCTTGCAGGGGAGTTGGACGACATGATCTTTAAAGGTTCCTTCCAACCCAAATTATTCTGTGATTCTACATATTGGGCTTGGAGTTCCTGAGTCTGTAGCATGCATTTTGTTGCAGTGCTTTGGCATTCAGCATTTTTCCTTTCAGATCACAGCAGCCTTCACACTCAGCATGCAGCCCAGCATGCGACCTGTGTAACCAAAGAGAAGCTTCATTCGCCAACAGCACTGTTTTATTGTGTTGTGTTTTTTTTGGGGGGGGGGACGGGACGGGACGGGGACAAGGGAAGGTAGGGGGGTCGGGGGAGGTTTGAACCTTTCAAAAAATGTTGGTATTTGCTCTAAGAACACCAAGGAGGCAAATTGCCATGTTCGGTGTAACAAGTCACACGCTTCCACATGAAGCGTGAAGAAAGTTCCAGTTAAAGCTGAAAGCAACAGCGGATATCTGCGTGCTGGTCTGTTGGCGGTCTGTGGGGCCACAGACTCTTTTGTTCACTTAGGGCAGAAACTCTAAGCAGGCACTTGGTACGGTTTTGTGTGAGAGCAGGCACAGCGGGGCCACGACCCGCGCTCCCGGACTTGCGCGGCCTCGGGAGCCGCAAGGGGTCGCGCCAGGCGCGGAGCCGAGCCTGTGCTGCCCGCTCGGTCGCCATGACGACGGGCCGGGCTGTGGGCGCGAAGGGCCGCGCCATGGGGAGCGCCCCGCGGAAGAGCCGGGTGGCGCGGCAGGCACGGAGCGACGGCGCCCGGCAGGTAGGCGGCCGCCGGCTGTGGTAGAAGTTCGCAGCGGGGCGGCGGGCTGTGAGCGCCGAAGTACAGAGAGCGGCCCAAAAAACTCGGTTTTGTGGTAAAGCGGGTGAAGCTCGGCAGGGCGCGTTTGTGTATCGGCTTTCGGAGCTTCAGCCTCCGGTGCTCTTTGGATGTAGTTAGTGGTGGCCGCGCTGGGGCTCTATAGCGGTCCTACCTATCTTAAAAGCGCTCAGGATGTAGTATTTCAATGAGCATTTACTGCTGAAGGAGTGTTGAGAAAGGGGCCTGTTTTTAAGGGTGTTCTTATCAATGCAGTAATTGAGGAAGGGTGAAACTACAATGCCTCGGCAGCTTTAAGATGTCACAGAGCATCTCAAGGCTTATTATACAGGATGGAAATTGTCAGTGATGCAGCAAACAGGAACAGAGGTGTCTGTGAGGTAAGGATCTGTGTAAGGCAGGAGCTGGTAAATACAAAGATGAGGTTTCCAGCTGTTTTAAACACTTGAAATAGGCTTATTGTTATGGCTGCATATTACTTAGCATCTTTCAGTTGTATAAATGTAAAAAAAAAAAAAAAAAAGTAAAGTTCTATAAGCTGATTTGAAGGCATGGTATTGCAAGCACGGGGTATTCTTTTACTGTAACAAAAAAGACTAACAAAAACAAACAAACAAACAAAACTGTCAGGGAAATAACTGGCCTTGCACTTGGAGGCAGTGCAGCTCCCTGGGAAGAGTTGAGGCTGGCTCACAGCAGGTACTGTTGGTAAGCTCCCTCTCCTAATACTGCCAGGTGCCTATTATGCGTAGAAATACCTAGTTTGGCTTTACATCAGCTGCTAAATGCTAGGCAACTGTGGTAGCATGGAGTTTGGGGCAGAATGAACAGTCTGTAATTAAGATACCCAAACTTAATTCCTCTTGACAGCAATGTTATCTTCTGACATAAACTCAGAAGTGAAGCCTGCATCTTAATAAGTTTTTTCAACCTTGTGAATCTGACTCATTTAGGCTAACATGACTTAAAAGAACATATTTAGGCTTCAGATTATATGATCTGCTGAATCTTGGTTTTTTTTCAGTGTAAGAAAGCGTAAGCCAGGTTGGAGCAGTGGGCCCAGGAGAGGTTCAACAAAGCCATGTGTTAGGTCTTGCACCTGGGTCATAGCAACTCCCACTGTCAATACAAGCTGAGGAACAAAAAGATAGAGCACAGCCCTGCTGAAAAGGACTTGGGGGTACTGGTAGATGGCAAGCTGGGCATGAGCCAGCAATGTGCCCTTACAGGCCAGAAAGCCAACTATATCTTGGGCTGCATCAAAAGAAGTGTAGACAGCAGGGTGTGGGAGGTGATCCTGCCCCTCTGCTCTGTGCTGGTGAGATCTCACCTGGAGTACTTTGTCTAGGTGTGGAGCCCTCAATTGAAATGCAAAAAATGTGAGTTAATTAATAATTGCTTAACTGACCCTGAAGCATGGAGAATCTTAAATTAACCCTTTTCTGTAGTTAGTCATACCAGGGAGTAGACTGTTGGTTTTCTTAATGTCTACATACATCTCCCTTACAAGATATATTTAAAATTCTGTGTCCTTTCAGTAGTAGGAGGATGAAACTGGGTCATTCCTAGCTGTAAGAATTTCTTAATTACTTTCTGCATCTTTTCCCACCCTCCCATTATTTTGTCAATGATAACAATAAATTCAAAGTTAATAATTCGCTGAAATATCTTAAGGATATTTAACAAAAGCAAACAGTTTCATGCCAGTAATGAGCAAAATTGGCAAGGAAAATGTTGGCTAGCATTGGAAAATGTAAAAATTTTAAGATAAACAGCTTATATGTGTTTTACGTAACATAGCTATTAAAAAAATTCCCTTGTCCTTAGCTTGTGTTTTTGAAAAGATTATCCTGCAATCCTCAAATAGTATTTGGTTTACTTTACTGGTTACAGTATTTATGATACATTTTCTGGATGTAAAAGTATGAAAATTGGAATTAACTCAGAAGATAATGCTCTTCTGAGTTAATTTTGCTAATCTATCTTTGTGGTATTTTAGTATTTCTGTGTTATTAAACATGCATTTTATTGCAAAAAAGGAATCATGAGAAAAATCAAAGCTAACTAAAGTTACATGGCTGAAAATTAAAATAGCATAGCTTTCACCTTTTGCATTATAAAATACACTGTTTGTTTCTGTATGGCTCTCTGTTGTTATCACCTCACATGGGACAAATTTTACAAGTGGCTGTTTTCGGTTCAGTTTGACTTTCACATAAGTTGAAGTTGCCCAGCTCCTTTCAGGTGGAGCTAGAAATTTCTTGTAGACTTGGAATGAAATTTGGGTTGGACTCTAGGAAACAAATTCAGATATTAGTGTTCAAAGCATTACTGCGTGGTTTTGGTGCTAATATGAGAGATCCTCGCTCTGCGCTGGATTACCAACATTGGGGTGATTATGTTGCTCTGATATTTGTGTGTGATGATCAAATGAGTAAAGAGTCCTCAAAATTATGTATTTATTTATTTTTGTAGTATTTCCTGCAAAGTTTCGGCCACATGATTTGCATGTGAACTGCACGGGTGTCACAATAATAGATGTCAATGCACTCTGTGGGGAAGACTTGCCTCCTGGAGGTGATGTCATGCCTGCTCGTGTACTTCCTTCTGCCCTGGTTTACAGTTAGGCCACTCCTTTGACTTCTGCTGTGAATGGGAGCAGTACTTGTCCTTCACAACGTACTGGTTGTCTTTTTTCCAGTCTATTCTGGTTTCTCTGTTTTCAGGACTTCTTCTTTCATGCAGCCCAGGATATGGTTGGCTTTCTGGGCTGTGAGGGCACATTGCTGGTTTATGTCCAGCTTGCCATCCACCAGTACCCCCAAGACTTTTTCAGCAGGGCTGTGCTCAATCCTTTCATCCCCCAGTTTGTACTGGTAATGGGGGTTGCCTCAACCAGGTGCAAGACCTAGCACTTGGTTTTGTTGAACCTCATGAGGTTCACCTGGGCTCACTGCTCAAGCCTGTCTAGGCCTCTTTGGATGGCATCCCACCGCTCTGGTGTATTGACTGCACCACAGCTTGGTGCCATCAGCAAATTTGCTGAGGGTGCAATCAACCCCACTATTGATGGAACTGATGAAGATATTAAAGAGTATGAGCCCCAGCAGCAACCCTTGGGGGATGCCACTCGTTACTGATTTTCATCCAGACATTGAGCCACTGACCACCACTGTCTGGACTTGATCCTGCAGCCAGTTCTTTATTCATTGAAAAGTCCACCCATTAAATCCATATCTTCCCAATTCAGAGAGAAGGATGTTGTGGAGTACTGTGTCAAAGGCCTTACTGAGGTCTAGATAGGTGGCTCTTCCCTTGTTCACTGATGCAGTGACACCATCACAGGCCACTAGGTTGGTCAAGCAGGATTTGCCCCGATGAAGCCATGCTGGTTCTCCCCTACCAGCTCCCTCCCTTTCATGTGCCTTAACATAGCTTCCAGGAGGATCTGCTCCATGATATGTGGCTCAGAGGGGTAACTGACAGGTTGATTGTTCCCAGGGTCATTCTTTTTACTCTTTGCAAAAATGGGTGCAGTGTTGCCTTTATTCCAGTCACCAGGGACTTCACCTGATTGCCACAACTTCTCAAATATCATAGAGAGTGGCTTGGCAACTACATCAGCCAATTCCTGGGATGCATCTCATCAGGACCCATAGACTTGTGGATGTTCAGGTTCCTCAGGCGGTCACGAGCCTGATCTTTGCTTACAGTGGGAGGGACATTGCTTCCCCAGTTGCCTCCTACCAAACCAAACATTTGAGGGCTGTGTGGTGAGCAGTTATCAAGGAAGACCAAGGCAAGAAAAGTAAAGTAAATCAGCCTTCTCCTTGTCTGTTGTTACCAGCCTGCCTACATTGCTCACTAGAGGGGGTATGAACTCCTGGACTTTCCTTTTCTGGTTGAGGGACCTGTTGTCATACCAGGGAGTTCTTTCTGGCATCCCTAGCCAAGTTCAGTTCAAGCTTGGCCTTGGCTTTCCTTAACCCATCCTAACAATGCCTAGCAGTTTCCTTATACTCTTCCCATGGTACCTCTCCCTGTTTCCACTGTCTGTGCATTTTCTTCTTGCTCTTCAGTTTGACCAGCAGGTCCTGATTCAGCTATTCTGGTTTTTTGCCTGCCTTTCTTGACTTGGTACACCTGGGGATGGAGAGCTCTTGAGCCCCGAAGAAAGCTTCCTTAAAGATCTGCCATCTCTGCTCCACCTTGCCCTTGAATTCAGTTTCCCAGGGATTAACTCCCTGAAGAGCTGAAAGTTAGCTTTCCTTAAGTTTAGCTTCCTAATTTTACTCTTCACCTGTCTCATGTCCCCTCTGGAGTATGAACTCAGTAACAGCATGATCACCGTAGCTCAGGTTGCTTCCAATCCTGATGTCACCAATCAGTTCATTTACATTGGTGAGCAATAGGTCCAGTATTGCATCCTTCCAGTGAGGCTGGATTTACTTGACTCGGGAAGTTATCTACAGCTAGCTGTGCTACTTTTCCAGCAGATGTCCAGGCGGTCGAAGTTCCCCAGAAGGACAAGAGCTTTTGATCATGACGCCTCCTGAAACTGGAGGTAGAAGGCCTCGCTGACAGGCTCTGACTGATCTGGTAGCCTGTAGTAGTCGTCAATCACAAGGCTTTCTTTGCTTTCTCAGTCTCTGTCACTCATAGGCTTTCGACTTGCTTGTGTCTGTTCTTTAGGGACAGCTATTCCTAAATTCCTAAAGAGCATTCACATTCTATTCCTTTCCTGGTGTAGATAGCAACATTCCCACCGCTCCTTCCTCACCTGTCACTTCTGAACAGTTTGTAGCCATTGATAGCCACACTCCTGTCATGGGAATCATCCCACCAGGTTTTGACAGTGACAACTATATTGTGGTTTCCAAGCAGCGCAGTAGCATCCAGCTCCTCCTGTTTGTTTCCCAAGCTGTGTTTATTGGTGTAGAGGCACTTCAGCTGGGCAGCTGATCTTGTAACTTTCTTAAAGGATAACTCCTTAGTTCCTTCTAGGTATTTCCCTTGAATTTCCCCATTGCCTTCTCCTGTTGCTCCAGCAGTCACTGCTTCATCATCATAGACTCTTGTACATGCTGAAGTGTTGGAAGCACATCTCAAGGCAGCGGGTCCTTCAAGGCCTCTGCCAGCATCCTGTTCCTCTAATACAGCTATGCCATCCCCACACCTTATCACAGGAAGGCTCACTATCTCCCCTGTCCCCCTTCACACCTAGCTTAAAGCCTTCCCAATGAACCCTGCTAGCTTTTCCTCAAGGACCCTTCTCCTTTGAGAAAGGCTAACCTCATCTGCTGCCCACAAACCCATGTAGGCTAATTGTCAGAAAAAATTCCAACAAGTTCTGGCAGCAGCACCAACCACAAAGCCAGGT